CTTTGCTCTGTCAAGTGACAGGGCTTAAAAGGAACAACATTCTGACAGCCATGTGCAAACCTGTCACCCAGATCTTGGTTTCTAATCCCATTTCCCAGTAAAAAGAATAGAGGCTCTTTAGAGAAATGGCTGATTCTAGAAGAGCTCACTGCAAGATATGCCCTCAGGGGGAGGGTACAGCTCAGTGGAGAGTGCCTGCCTAGCATGTACGAGGTCATGGGTTCAATCCTCGGCACCTCTATTAAAAAAAAAACAAAAAACACAAGCCCACATTGACAGGGATACATAAGAGAAACCAACTGAAAAAGCTCCCGGTGGTCAAAGCTGGAGCAATTTGGGCAACAAAATAAATTAAGTAGTATTGGATTATATCCCAAAATATAAATAAATATCCACCAATCCACACTGACATGAAACAATGATTGAACAAATTAACAGGAGAGAAGAGACAAAGTATTCCAAATAACATACATGGATATTTAACTCTCAAGGAGCAAGAGCCTAAGACATCGCTCTTCGAGCCCAGGCTGCACACAGGGATGTCCGCCCAGAGAGGACGGTGGGGAAGGGTGGGCAGAGTGTGCCTTTACTGTGGGGGATGTGACCAACACCACTCAGCCCATTAGTCAGCACCCACAGTCGTGAACCAAGTTGATAGTATGTATCCTTAGTATAAAATATGACAGTGATACTTTACATCAGACAAACTCCAACAGAGGGGAATTGTACCACACGGGCCTCACCAGCACTCCTGAAGACTGACTAGACGTCTCATCAAAAACAAGGAAAGGCTGAGAAAACCTCATAGCCAAGAGGAGCCTAATGAGACAATGACAACTCAACATAATGTGAGGTCCTGGACCCCAAAAAAGGGTACTAAGGGGAAATTAAGAAAATCTGAATAAAGTGCAGAATTAAGTTAATAATAATAATGTATCAATATTGATTTCCTACTTGAAATGAATGTACCAAACCAAGGTAAAATGTTAACAATCAGGGAAACAAGGAATAAGGTATATTGGAACTCTCCGTATTGTCTTCAGAATCTCTAAATCTAAAATCACTCTAAAAAAATGAAAAGTACCACTAAAAAAATTTTTTTAATAAGATCACCAGAGTATAGAAACGAAGAAAGAAAACCCAGAACAGGTGTAATGTTGATGTACAACAGAGAGGCTATTACAGATCGATGTCAAAAGGATGGGCTATCAAGCGATTCTGGGGCCACTGGCTGTTCATGTGAGAAATGAGACTTGATTAGACTACTCTCTCATTCCACGTACAAACTAGTTGGAGTAAAAAACCAAATGTGTAAGAATAAATTTTTTAATTATTAAAAGAAATCTTAAAGAGTATCTTCATGATCCTGCCTTAGGTAGGGACGGCCTTCTTAGGCAGAAGGGAAAAGAAAAGAAAATTTTGATTAGTCTAAATAAAAGTCTTCAACTTCTATTTTGAAAATGATACCATTTAAGTAAGAAAAGAAAGGACAAATGACTGACCTGAAGGAATGGTGTTCAACCTAAAATGAGCCAAAGAGTTGACATACAAAATACAAATAAAGAAATACTATGAAAAAATAAGAAAATAATAAACCAATAAAATAATGGGGGAAGGGTACGAACAGACAAATCACAGAGGAATAACTGGCCATTTAATCAACAGAAATAATGTTCTATGTCAGTAAAGCACACTTAACACTGAAGATACCGTGTTTTCCCCATCCAATTGGTAAAAATTATCAAGATATAGAATACTGAATATTGGCAAGAATGTAGGGGTAAAGATTTTTAACGCACTGTCCATGGATTAGTAAGTGGTTTAACCACTCTGGAGGATAACTTGACAACATCAATTAAATGAGTATATCTTTTATCTCAAAATGCTACAAAAGGAGCAAAACCATAATTTTCCTTAGGAGGACTCTGATTCACTGAACTGTGACACAAAGGAAGACCAAGCATTAGTTTAAAATAATGAGGAGGATATATTTATATCATTATATACAGATGTATGCAGAGACAGAGATACACACATCATAGAAATACCTCTTCAAGACATCTTACTTGGAGGGAGAGGGGAGAGTTCAGTGGTAGAGCGCGTGCTTAGCATGCACAAGGTCCTGGGTTCAATCCCCAGTACCCTCATTAAAATAAATAAATAAATAAATAAATAA